TGTATACCTAAAATGTACCAATAAAAGAACCAAAAAAAAAAAAAAAAAAAAAAGACTGAAGAGCCACTTGGAGACTTAAATAAAAAGGTAATTGGAAAAAAAAAGTCTGAGAAGAAAAGTCTTACCTGGTTTTGCACTGATTACATTCATAATGAATCGTGTAGTTAATTGTATAGTTATGGCAATGAGTGACCGGGGGCAGCTCTGGATGTACCTTGTTGGATTTGCTGGCATAATACTTCCATGTATCACCACGAGAATCTCCAATACCATCAATCAGCCAGGAGGCTGTATGGCATATTTCATGGATCAAGGTATCTCGGAGTCAGTCTGAGAAGAGGAATGAGAAGAAACTGTGAGCCCTAACACTGATTCTCTTCTGATCTGCTACCCAACAACCCTTGACTCTCACCTGCAGCAGGCACAAAGCATCTTACAGAAGTGTATGCAGGCAAGCAGGCAAGCAGCCACAAGCATCACCTTCCCAGAATTCTGAAAGTGAACCTTCTGCCTACTTCAACCTGACTCTGTTAATGGTAGACAGCCTTAAGTGAGCGGGTCTTTTCAGAGCATCTCCAACACGTTCATCTCTTTGTGGTGACACTGCTAGAAATCTACCTGGACAAGCCTTGGTTTCTGCCCTCTAGAAATAGATGTGGATGGGTGGAATAGATATGGATGAATGCTAGGGCTGTGGTGAGATGAGGATCTGAGCTGGGCCCTTCACAACTGAGTGGATTTGTAAAATTTGAAAGGCCATTGTGAGGCAGGTGAAAAATAGGAGCAAAGATTTAGGCCAGAAAAGCATGTGGTACATTGTGAAGGCCAGTATGAAGAGGCCTAGTTGGAGTGTGAGTTAACATGGAGTAGCAAGAGATGGGGCCAGCCAAGTGGAGTAGGGGCAGATTACACTGACCTAGACAGCCAGGCTCCAGGCACTGAAAAGCCCTAGGAAAGCAACACAGAGGTACACAAAAGCCTCAGTGGAGCAGGGAGAAGTGAGAAGGTGAGCGCCCATTTCTGGGTGAAAGCAAAGATGGAGAAGAAATGATGATAGGAGAGTCATTGTGAAGGGAGATCTGGTGACTGAATAGGTATAGGGAACCTTGAACCTCAGCTACTATGAAAATGGAGATGCTGTGTCTGCAAGGGGAAAATGCAGACAGAAAGGTAGGCCAGGTAGAGATGGATGAGTTGGATTCCCAGGGATGATGAGACATCCCAAAGTAATGTTCTCTAAGCAATACACAGTAGGCCTGTCTACCTGGGAAGGCCAGTTCAAGCAGTGACATAGGCTTCTAGCTAAGAATAATTGAACGGGTGTGGTGCCAGAGGGAAAGAGGGCTGAGATACCACTGCCTCACTCCTGCCATCACCTGCAGAGTCACAGACTTTCAGAGAAATCTCAATCTTGGCATAGCGCTCCCTCTTTGGGTACTGTCTCTCACTAGTGGTGCAGAAGCCAGTACTTCTCAGCATCTTTTTATTCCAGGTGATGTCTATTTTCTCCAGTAGCTGAGAATGAAAATCAAATACAGAAGGAATCAGAAAGAAGTTCTAAGCAAACCAGAAAATATTATGTCAAGTTTTTCTTTCTGTAATAAAAAGAGAAACTTCCTTCCCCAGGTTCTTGGCTCACAGCAAGCTGGGGGGAAATCTACTCAAAGAGCAAACAAATCTAAACATTCTGGGGAGAATAAAAACCAACTGGAATTGGGGGAGTGGGATAAAATAAAATTTATTTAAAAATTTTTTTTAAAAACCAACGAAAGTCTGGGTAAAGACAATTAGGACACAAGGGAGACTGCTGAGACAAGATGAATTAGGACTTGTGCTCTCCTGCACGGAGAGAAGTCAGGCAGAGAAGTACAAGTCTGCCTGGGCAGGCCAGCTGGAAACCTGTCTATGGATGTGGTGCGGAAGAAGTGAAAATGCAATTCAGAACACTTCAGGTTCTGTTCATCTGATAAACAACACTGTCATCAGGAAGGACACCAAAGGCTGGGGAGCCTTTAGGATAAGAGATCTTCCCTCTGGAAAGTCTTGACACCTAGGCAATAGTATCTGCAAAAACCCAATGACCTAGGGCCAAAGATGGAGCTCTCTGGTACAGTGCTTGCTTAGCACATAAGAGGCCCTCCTTCGGTTCCCAGCACCACAAAAACAAAACAAGGGAATGACCAACAGGTCTCTGCCTCCAAATTCTCTCTAATCCAATCCACATCTACAGGCTACTGTCAAGAGTTTGCTTCAGCAGCCACTCCAGGTCACATCTTATCCCTGGGCAGTGGTGCCTACTGATTTAAATTTAATCTCCCACAACCTGATTCCCAGGGTCATCCGTTACCTGGTCCTACCCCATCAAAAAATGGTAAGAAGAGCTACAATACTGTAGGCCCTGTTCCAGGCACTTTCTGTATATTAACTTTTGTAGGCCCAATAATAATTCTTAGGTAGTAAGTACAATTGGCCCTCCGTATTCATGGCTTCCACATCCATAGCTTCAACCAACCATAAATCAAAAATATTTTTTAAAAATTAGAACTGTGTGGGCCGAGGATTTAGCTCAGTGGTTCCACCACCTGCCTCACAAGCACAAGGTCCTGAGTTCAATCCCTGGTACCAAAAAAAAAAAATTGGAACTGTGCTGAACATGTACCAATTTCCCCCTTGTCATTATTCCCTAAACAATATAGTGTAACAACTATTTACATGGTATGTTATATTACCTATCATATAGGTAATATAGAGATGATTTTAAAAAAATAGGAGAGCTGGGTATGGTGGTATAGGCCTGCAATCGCAGCACTCAGGAGGCTGAGGCAGGAGCACTGCTGTGAGTTCAAGGCCGGACTGGGTTACATAGTGAGTTTAAGGCCAGTCTGAACTACATAGTGAGACCCTGTCTCAAAAAAAATCAGAAAGAACCCTCCCCAGTTTTTTTTAAAGGGAAGATGTGAGTAGACCATATTCAAATACTACACGTATCTGCAGATTGTGGTATTTATTGGATAAGCCTAGAACCAGTCCACCATGGATACAGAGGGACGACTGTACTGTTATTGTTCCCATTTTATAGATGTAGAAACAAGCATATTGAGGTTAAATAACTTCTCCAAGCTCACACTGCTCTTTTCTTTTTTTTGGTGCTGGGGATTGAACTCCGGTCCTTGCGCTTGCGCAGCAGGTGGCGAAACCACTAAGCTAAATCCCCGGCCCCTCACATTGCTCTTTTCATTTCAAGTGGTCAAGCCTCAACACATTCCCCTCTCCCTTGTCACTGTTGACCTTGTGACTTACCAAAAGGAGGTTCACTTCCTCCAAGCAATCCTACTTCCTCACCACTCAGTCTCTGTTATTCCTCCCTCTGCTGATCTCGTATGGTAATAACCATCTGTTGCGTATATTATAAGCCATAAACACTATTTCCTTCATATATGCACATCTTCTCTCCCCACCTACACTGACACTTTTCAAGGGCAGGAAGTATACACACAGGATACCACCTACCCCCCAAGAGTACCATCACACAGCAGGTGCTCAATAAATTCTAATGCATCAATTTTACCTTTTGATCAAAGACAGTGGTGTTAAACAGTGTATAGATTTTCTGAACCAGTTCATCCTTATTTTTCTTGAATTCTTTTCCAGAATACTGTTTTGATTTTTCTATGTCAAGCAAGAAGCATCCAGGTATTTGGCACACAGCTCTCCTGCAAAGGTAAATTCAACTGAGTTTTTATATAGCTGAAGAAATAGGTAGAAGAAATGCATACATTAAAGATCAGGCCAAGAGAGGCTGAAAACTTGCTACTTCCACTACCTTCATCTCCTTAAATGAGGGCATTTTCCAAGTTTCCCTTCATAGTCTTTTCTCTTCACTTTCAGCACATTCTCAGAAGTGTGAGGGCTGGTTTCCACCCCAAAGGAGTTGATTCCCACCTCAGAAGCTGCAGCCTCTAGCTCTCTCCTGACACCTAGTTATGAATTTACAATTCCCCAATGCAAATTTCCAACTAACAATAGTCTTATCTTCAGTGCAACATACTCAACTGTCAAACTTCTGTTCTAACTGGCTGAAAACTTCAGAGGCATTTTAAATTCATTTTCTTCCTTATTCTACATTTATCTGGGGATAGGTATCTTCATCCTAACAGCTCTCCCAGTCAGCCCTCCTTCCCAGCCCCAGTTTCAATTAATATTATATACATCAATTCAATTATATACATCCCTCCAGATTTGCTTCGCTAGGCCAGTGGTGGTGAACCTATGGAATGCACGCCACAGCGGGCTGTTTGTATTGATAGGGAAAAGTTTTAAAGCAAGTTTAGTAGATTAGCTATTAAAGCAGTTATGAAAGCAAAATAGGTAGTGTATCCCTTTAAAAGCTTGCCTTAGCCTGTTGCTTTTGTTGTTTAAAGTGAAGGTTATATAGCTCCTTTGATCTGTAGCTCCACTATAGATAACATCCTAGCTCTGAAGAACAAAATGGGAATCCTTGAACAAACTTGTGATATACGTGCCTTAACTGTCATGTGTTTAGGACTGTAATCAGTGACAGAAACCACCTGTGTCTAACCATTAAACAGGAATTGGAACTTTATTTACTTAACAAAGACCACTAGGGATGAGATAATGACTGACAAAAGTATAAAAGGTGATGGACAAAGAACGCAGGGGGGGACTCTGACCAGACCAGTTTCTGGTGTCCTACCTTGCTAGTAAATAAAGACCTTTGTTATTTTACCCAAATTCTTTGTCTCCGTGCATTTCTTTCTGCAATTCCGGAACAGTATCATTGAAAGCTCTAAAAAGTTCTCTGTCCTAGGCCATATTCAAATTAACATTCCCTCTGCTTTTCATTGACCATTTGACCTATCATTCAAGGCCTGGGTCAATCTGGCTCCAGCCTATATTTCTAGCTACCATTCCCATTCTGGACTCAGCAGGCAACTCAAACATTCCCTGGACATGAATTGTGATTTCCCACACTCATGCCTCAGCCTAACTTCTCCCCAAGGTGACTCTATCTCCACCTCTACTGAGAACCACCATTTGTGTGGTATGATATCACTTGTAAAGAACTTCCTTTTACTTTATCATATTTAATCCTCACAATCATCCTTCAAAGAAGCCACTACTGTTTTTACCATCTCTAACTTGCAAAAGAGGAAACCGGTACTCAAGGGTAATTTGCCCAAAGGCCACAGAGACAATGAATCTTCTGATCCAATCTCACAATCTTTCCATTAAATCACAACTGCTACCCATCTTTCTAGACCTAATTCAAGTGGCACAAAGAATAGTGCTGAGCACATAAAGGACTCATGCATATAATAACTATTTATTTACACGGACGCATTTTTACCTTGGCTAGAACAATTCACAAGTCCAGACAGATGAGCCTCAGAGCTAGAAAGATAAAACAGAAACAAATGCAGTGAGCTTCTGACTACACAGAACTCCTGAGACTGAGACTTTGCCAGGATACTTAGAAACCCTATGTGAGGAGGAAGAACGTACCAGACAAGGCAAGGGAAGCTAATGCAAGGGTTCTTCCCCCAAAGCCGGACATGGATGACTCAAACATTTCTGCCTCCAATTACCTAGTTTTGAGAACAAATTTGCATCAGAAAAGGTGGCAGGTGAAAATCTAAGCCATGTGCAGGCTTCAGCAGAGTATGTGACTTCTGTGTACTCAGGAAAGGCTGGCCTTGTTGCTTAGCAAACTTTACCTCAAGCCCTGTGCCACTTCACTGCAGGCTGAGCATGTCCAACATCAGAGGAACCAACAAGACCCCAAACTGGGTACATCAGACACCATGACCAACAGGCAACCTACACAGGAACAATGCTGAGCACAACAAGAAGCCCCCAGACTGACACTGGAAGTACCAAAGCAACTGTTCAGAGTCCAAACAGCCTACACTTCTTTGGATGAGGCTAACAAGGACACTAAGCAGTAGCTCCTCCCTTCTTTTGTCACAGTCTCTAGCAAACCAACCTGGGAGCTACCCAAGCCACCTGTCCCTATAAGCAAATCAGCTTAAATATGGATCTAGAAATCCAGAGATGCTTTCACTGAAAGGGGTCCAGCTGCTGCCAGTTGTCTTAGACTCAGAGAGCCTTTCCCTCAGATCTAAATTGCTCTTCTGCCCTAAACCCTGGGATATCATGTTTTTCCCTCCCAAAATATAGGCTGAAAAGTTATAGATGGTGGGGTAAAGCTCAGTGGTAAAGTATACAAGTAAAAACAAAGAAAATTATGCTTATCGTATCTTTTTTGTTGTTGTTTTTTGAGACAGTCTCACTATGCAGTTAAGGCTGGCCTTGAACTCACAGCGATCTTCCTGCCTCAGCCTAGTAGTGGGGATTACAGGCGTGAACCACCACACCTGGCCACCATTATCATATTTCTAAGGGAAAATATAGGAACTTCCCGGAATCTAAATGAGAATTATGTCTTGATTTTTGCTTTAAGTATTAATATGCCTTTAATGATCAGTTATTGTTTTCAGTATCAACTACATACAGCTTAATAAAAATAAGGGAACTACAAGCAATCTATTTTACCCTAACATTTAACCTTTGAAAATTCTCAAGAGGAATGGAGGTATAGCTCAGAGACAGAGTGCAGGGAAGACCTGGGTTCAATCCCCAGAACTGTAAAAACAAAAAAATTGCAAGAGTATACATAGTAGTAAGAATATAACTGGGTTCATCCAAAGCACTAGAAAAGCCTGGAAAACACTCTTGACTGCCCTCACTCCAATTCCAACAAATCAGAACAGTGGGTCAGGTCTGCCTTCTCACCAGCTCCCCTGTGTTTACCATGGTTTAGTGTAACCTGGTGTCACAAGTCTTATTTGGCTACAAATCATTTTTTTTGACCTGAGTTTAAGGACAAAGGAAACTTCAGAGGCCAGAAATGCTCTGGAGGTGGAGGGGCCCCACTCTGCCCATGGAACTGCAGGGGTTTGGCAGAGTACTCAGGCCCAGCCACCAGGGGAATGGGAGGGAGCTGGCCAATGGCTTCCTCGCCCTGCTCTCCACTCAGGGACAGACTTTGTCCCCCCACCCCACCAGACTCCTTTATCCCTCTGACCACCTCCCAAGTGCCTAATAGGCTGCTGAACATGACAAATGTGCAATCAATTCCTGTTCAGTTGGGTGTGAGCAGTACATACCCAGTCTCGCACTTTTCAACTTTTGCTGCACTGGATTTCTTCTCTGAAGACGCATGCTTTTTTGGTTCACTATCAGCTGAAAGAATAATAGTTAATTTGAACCCTGACAATTCCTACCATCACTCAACTGACAGGAAGATAAACCTGGCGGAGCCCGATAGCTAAGCTATCAACATCTATCAATAAAACTGCAAAGACTACACACTACTGCTTTCTGAGTACCTTTATCTATGTTAATCACAGAGCCACCAACAATGTGACCTGGGTAGGATTTTGTCATAGGTACCAAGCACTGTCTTGAGGGTCCATGAATGCATCTCTAGAGACCAGGTTGCATGGGCAACTAAACCTCATGCTCTCTAAGGGATGGTATGGCACACCTCACAGATGCTCTGAGGAGCAGCTGATATCCTTGCCTGTAACTGTACCTAATGTGCAAGCCACAGTGTTTTATTTTCATCTCGGACCCATACTGCCAGTAACTCTAGCCAGAGACTTACGAACCAACAGTTAATGTTACTTATTCATTTATTGAAAAATTAAGGCTGGGGATGTAGCTCAGCAGTACAACGCCTACCTAGCAAGCACAAGGCCCTGGGTTTGATTCCTGATACCAAAAAAGAAAACAGACCAAAAATTTATTAAACACTTGTTACATGCCAATTACAAGGCTAGACATTTGGAGACTAAATGACTAAAAGTTCTCCCAGGGCCAGGGATTTAGCTCAGTGATTCTGCCGCCTGCCTCGCAAGCGCAAGGTCCTGAGTTCTATCCCCGGTACCAAAAAAAAAAAGTCCTCCCATGAAGAGGCTACTAGTGGGGGACAGACTCAGGAATATACTACAACACAACATGATTAGTGTTTTAAACTCTAGAACTTTGGGATTCCAGGAGGGAGGAGTTATTCTAATAACTTATAGTCTCATACAGGACATAACAATTGCACTAGGTTTTAAGAAAAATAGGACACAGTGGTGCCTCAGTTCACAAACATAATTCTTTCTACGATTCTAATTGCAAACCAAATTGGATGAGAACTGAATCAAATTCAATGATTAGGTTCAATGCTGACCTTATGGAGAACTCTGATTCGGTTCTCATCCAATTCAGTTTCTGACCAGAATCATGAAAAGAATTAGGTTCGTGAACCAAGGTACCACTGTATCCTCAGGACAAGAGGTGCAGGGAAAAAGCAGGGGGAAGGGACACATAGAACAGTAAATACTAAGATATGGGAACATGAGATAGACAGACATGGGTGTTTCCTATTTCCAGAAAAATCCTTTTCATTGGGATGGCTGCTTCCCTTTGCAACTAGGAGGCTGCTATAATGGCTGAGGACTGACAGAATGGGAAGGCCTGAAGACCCAGGCATACCAAGCAGAAAAGGTGTGGTGGGCACACTTGGTAGGCCAGGTACATTGGGTGGGACAGGCACACTTGGCATGACTGGCTTACCAGGTAGTCACACATGTATTGTTGGTTTTACGGTTCCTTTTCCTCAGTTGCTCCGCCACAAATATGACTTCTTCAGTAGTTGGCAACTGTGGATCAGTAATTTCTAGGTTAGCCTAAGGATCAGTTGGTGGTTGATTGACATTTTCACCAAGATCCTGCTTCTTATGAACATTATCAGGTGAATTGTGCTGGGAGACAACACACTCATCCACTTCTTTTTTATCTGAATAAATTTGGCTGTGATCATGGGAACCCCCTTCTTTTAGCACAGGAATTTCCAATTTGTTATTGTTGCCATCATCATCAATAATAGTAATTACTCCTGGAGACTTTGGGGTGCTGGTGGGGAGCTGCTCCTCCTCAGTGTCAGAAATCACTTCCAAAATCTCATCTGAAATTTAAGAGATATGTCATTTATAAATATACTCCTTATACACTAAACACCAGCAGATTATTAAGTACAACTTAAACAAGCTGTAAACTGTGACTATAAGTCACAATTAAAAACCATAGTTATTTTAGATTGTTTTTACTCTATTTCTTTTTAATTTTACTAAGAGCAGTGACAGATAAAACAACAACCAGGCCAAGTATACTGGTGCACACCCATAATCCCAGGACTTGGGAGACTGAGGCAAAAGGATTGGTGTGAGTTTGAGGCCAGCTTGGGCTACACAGTGAATTCAAGGCCAGCCTGAACTACATACATAGCAAGACCCTGTCTCAAGAACAACAACAACAACAACAACAACAACAACAACAAAAACCCCACCAGCAATCATAACCATGTTTACAGCAGTACAATTCATAATAGTTAAATCTTGGAAGCAACCTACATGTCCATCAACAGATAAATGGATAAAGAAAGTGTGTTATTTATACATAATGGAATACTATTCTGCCATAAAGAAGGATAAACTTGAGTCATCTGTAGGAAAACAGATGCACCTTGAGACCATAATGCTAGGTGAAATAATTCAGACACACAAGCTTATCTCATGGTCTCTCTTATATGAGAAATCTAAAATATAAATAAAGAGTAAAATAAAAGGTAACAAGAAACAGGGAAGTAGATCTTTACAAAAGGGAAAGGGACCAAGAGATGGAAGGGAGTGGGAGGGAGGGAAGGGGAAAGAAATTTAAAAACAGAATTAAGATGTTTTATGTACATATACCAATCATATTTTCTAAGTAGCATGATGTTGTTGCATGGTAGTTCCCAAACACAGGTCTGCAGACTTGTATCCATAGCCAAATAAGAGAAACTAGAATAAAAACATGATGTTTCCTTCAAATCAAGTTAAATTTCTATAATGCAAAGGCTTCCCTTTATTTTGTGATTATGTCCTGGCTAAACTTTCAATCCTCTTTATACAACTACGGAGACAGAAGATGGTAGCTAGCATGTTTTGTTACTTATTTAATTAGGTTTTTTTGAGACAGGGTCTTGCTATGTAGCCCAGGCTGGCCTCAAACTCATGGCGATCCTTCTGCCTCAGCCTCCGGATTGCTAGGATTACAGGCATGCACCACCATGCCCAGCTAGTTAGCATGTTTTAAACCATCACCTCCTCCCAAATCTCCATCAAACTGGAAAGAAGGCAGAGCCCATGCTTCTTACTCCTTCCTTCCTCATTATTCCCATGCATAGAGGAGAGAAAGAGAGGAAGAGGGAGCAATAGAACAACCTGCATACTTGAGTCTCAGCTCTTGACTTTCTCCCCTCTGCCACATTGGTGCAGTTCTAGACAGGTAAGAGCTTCACTGAGGGGACACCTGAGATCCAAGGCAGCAGGAAAGTAACCCAGCCACTTCCACAGTTGGCACATATGAGGCAAGAAATGGTGGCCCTTGCTACTAAGTAATTCTAAACCCAAAGTTTGAGGACTCTAATCCTGAAACTGCTGTGCATGAGGAGGCTTCAGAGCCCAGCTACTTCTCTAAGGAGCAGTATACTTACCTTCACTGCTTATTTTGTACATCTTAACTTTCTTTTTCTTATGAATATGTTCATCATTAGACTCAGAATCAATCACCACAGGGCTGAGTGATGAAACAGGAAAAGTGAGAAATATGAATGTAACATTCTCTTCATAGCATTTTCTACCTTTTTTTTTTTTATAATGAACACGATCATTTGTCAACTTTTGGTTTGTTTCCCACAGTAACTCTGTTCCCTTAATTCAACTAAATCTTTCTATTATTCCTGCTTCTCCATCTTTATTTGGTTTTTATTAGTACATGTTTACAGTACATGCTACTTAGTCATCTTGGGGACTGGGTACATGTACATAATACCACAGCTTGTTTCTTTTTTTAAAGTTCCCTTCCTCTTCCCTCTCTCCTCCTCTAATTCCCCTTTGCCCATTTTCATTCTTGTTGATATTATCTTAGCTCATGTTTACTTACATTCCTTGAGGTTATTAGGTTCCTGTACATGGCATTATTCTAATTTTTTCCCCTTCACCTCCTTCTCACCCTTCACACTTTTTCCCTTGGACCACTCCATACTTCAAGACATGTTGAAATTCAATGTCCCCTTCTATATATCCTTGTCCCTTCTATACATCCTTTATTATTCTCTTTATTTGTACTTTGCCTCAAAAGAGACAGCATATGGTATTTAAGCTTGTGTGACTGGTTTATTTCACTCTACATTATATTTTCTAGGTACATCCATTTTCCTACAAATGTCTCAAATTTATTCTTTATAGCCAAGTAGTATTCTATTATGTACAGATACCACTTTTTTATCCAATTGTCTGTTGATGGGTATACAGGCTGCTTCTAGGATTTAGCTATTTTGAGTCCTGCTGCTATAAACATTGGTATGCATATATTGCTGTAGTATGATGACTAAAACTCTTTGGGGAAGATACCTAGCAGGGGGGTTGCTAGGTCATATGGAATTTCTAATTTCAGTTTGAGAAATCTCCATACTGATTTCCATAATGGTTATACTAGTTTACACTCCTACCAATAATGAAGGAGGTTTCCTTTTTCACCACAGTCATGCCAGCATTTGTTATTGCTTGATTTCTTGATGACAGCCATTCTTTCTGGAGCAAGATGGAATCTTGGCATTGCTTTTTTCCCTGTCTTCAACACTTTCAAAAGGGGATATCTGAAAGTAACTGGGATCTGTCAGAGCATACGTATTCAAACAATTTTGGTACAGGAGAAAAACTGATCAGGAAAATGTCTAGTTGACTATCATTCTTTTTGCTGTCATTCTGGAATTGGAGACTGAATCCAGGGCCTTTGCACTAAGCTATGTCTCCAACTTTTTCTTTTTTGGGGGGCGAGGGGGAGGTGCTAAGTTGCCCAGGCTGGGCTCACACTTGCAATCCTCCTGCCTCAGTCTCCCAGAGTGCTGGGATTACAGGTGTGCATCCTTTGCCCACCCGGTCATTCTTTATTTGAGAAGGGTAGAGAGGGAGAGAAGGGGAGAGGCAGCCTTGGAGTAGGGAGGCTTCTCCTCAGTGATGTTCTGCAGCCTGAAGCCAGCACTTGCTGCTTTTGTGGACAGATGGCTCTGGCAGGAGTCATGCGCAGCGATGCCCCTGTGTCTCCCAAGGTACAGGTGGTAAGCACCCCCTCAGGTCCTTGGTTGGCCTTGGTATTTGGGTCAAAGGTTCCAGCAGGCTGAAATTTGCTGCCCTCTTATATTTTCCAAATAGTATATGATAGGTGTGATATACTTGCATGACAAGAGAGAAAATACTTAAAATGCTTGTTACAGGACTTGTGTATATCTATTACAGAAAGGAATGTTAATCTATTTCTACTATGTTTATTACTTCTAAACTTGATTTTTATATGATGAGCTATTTCAATTAGGCATCAATATGATCAAAGCAATGCCTCAGGAGATTCTTCTGGAAATGGTGTGCAAAGTGGATCAGAAGAAAAAGAAGTGAGAGGGGTCCACTTTTTTGACTAGTGGAGACTGGAAGCTAAGACAGGAGTCACAGAAACATTTTAAAGAAGAAACTGACCAGAGAGATAATGTGCCAGAAATAAGAAATCTAATATTTTGGACCTGGTTGTAAAGTCAACCATTACGATGCTGATAAGCATCACAGAGGAAATGTGATATTTACTCTTAGATCTTCTTACACAGAACATCAAAGTTTTCTCCTTTAAAAAAAGTCAATTGGGGTGAGGAGAAAAAAATGGCAGAGCAGTGAGTACCAGCAACTCAGCTTCTCCAGACAGTGTCCTAGAGTCTGGAAAATGGTAGCTTGGAGAGGAATCAAAGTGAGAGGAGGTTACCAAAGAGCCAGGAGGGAACTGATAAAAGAGGGGGGGGGAAGGATTAAGAGATACTGAAGAAATAGAACACATGGCAGAGAAGAGAGGGGACCCTCTGCAAACCATGGCTGAGAGCAGCTGGCCAGCCGCCATCTGGGAGACAGAATGAAACTAAAAACTTTTCATTCATGGAGAACCACACTAAGAGTGAGAGAATCAAGTGTGCTAGGAGAGCGAGCTGACCCACCCGGGCGCGGCGTCGGGAACTATGGTGCTTCCGAACATCCTGATCACCGGTACGCCAGGAGTTGGAAAAACCACACTAGGCAAAGAACTTGCATCCAAATCAGGACTAAAGTACATTAATGTGGGTGATGTAGCTCGAGAAGGGGCACTATATAATGGCTATGATGAAGAGTATGAGTGTCCCATTTTAGATGAAGAAAATGTAGTTGATGAGTTAGAGAACCAAATGGCAGAAGGTGGAGTTATTGTTGACTACCATGGTTGTGATTTCTTTCATGGTTTCATGGAGTTTTTGTGTTGAGAATAGATAACAGCATATTGTATAAAAGACTTGAAACAAGGGGTTATAATGAGAAGAAACTAGGAGACAATATCAAGTGTGAGATTTTTCAAATTCTTTATGAAGAGGCCATGTTATCATACAAGGAAGATACTGTGCACCAGCTGCCCAGCAATACGCCTGAAGAGCTAGAGGACAACATAAACCAGATCCTGAGATGGATTGAGCAGTGGGTCAAAGGTCACAACCCGTGACTGGTCAGTTGATGGTGCCTCTTTGCCCACCTTGTAGACATGGCCTCCAAGTATCTGTAAAAACCAAAACTATGTGGAAGGCCCAGAAGATATTTTTATGCCTGGGTTTCTTTTTCTCCATGAGAAAGTTAAACAATCCCAAATATAATGAATACAATTATTATTAAGCATTTAAAATACGTATCAGTTGCTAAACAATAAATCTGATCAAATGGGAAAAAAAAAAGTGAGAGAATCAGTGACAGTTGGAACCTTTAAGGAAAACACAGGACACTGCTTCCAGAGTGGCTTTCCACAGTCAACAGTTGGTGAGTGACCTCAGTCCAGTGTCTGTTGCCATAAATGCAGAACAAGAACTGGCAGAAACGCCACTGTAGGGAAGGGCTCAGTGTTCGAACCTGGGTCCCAGAGCAGCCCCTTGGCTCCAAGCTATGCATCACACTATCAAGCCCCCAGAGTGGATGAGGGAAGGACAGCCACATGAGACAGCCAGTAGTTGGACTGAAGGCTCGAGGAAATCCTGATGAAGGGCTGGAGCTGGTGAACATGGACGCAGGTCCTGCAGTTGGAGGCCAGGTTCAGCCTGAGTTATACAGGACTGGAAGATCAACATTGGTACTGTTCCCACTGTATGCAGAGGTTTACAACCAGCACCATTCTGGGGCTGGACTGCTTGCTACCTTAGACTTCAGCGTGAGCCGAGACACATCTTAGCATGAGCTGTGCTCCTTAATCCTATAGGCTGTGGAAAAGAGTCACATGTCTAAAACAAAATTTTCCTTCTTCTGTTCATTTCTCCATATTTTCATTTCATTATTTTTCCTGTTTTTCTTTCATGAGTGTGAGTGTGTGTTTCTTCCTCTTCCCTTCTTAGTTTATAGAGGGTAAGGGAATTCTCCTTTGTCCCTTTTTATTCCTTCTACTTTACTCCATATCTTTTCTCTTGAATTCTTTTTCATGTTTCCTATTCTTTCTTTTTCTTTTCTCCCCCCTTTCAATTCATCTCCCTTTAACTTTTTCTCCAATATTTATATTAGTCATATAATTTCTCATCCCCCTTTCTCACCACAGATTTTGTACTCAGTTTTCCCTGCTATCCCCACCTAAATATGTTAACATACCTCTACTACCATTAGGATCCTTTGCCCATTTCTACTTCTAACTTCTCATACCACAGAGCTGAAAACCTGAAAAAAAACCCACTTTTTTTTCTTTTCTTTCTCCCCTCTAGGATTACTCACCCTCCAATCCTTTGGGCTTTAGATAATTGATTCTATAAAATTATTGTTGAATTTTTTTTTTTTTACATAAGAGGAGACAAGCTATTGCATTTAGTGCATAATAGCTGTGGGTCAATACTTGGGCTATTATGATGCTTATACTACAACCATAGATTTCTTTTTTTTCTGGTTAAAAGAAAGTCTTTATTAACAAATCCATTTCAATTCTTTAAGTTCATCTTAATATTAAATAGGATAAGATGCTTAATAGCTGTAATTCAACACTTTATTCCAGTTCAGCTGTTTTCAATGAACTTGCTGCAAACTTGTTTATATTTTAATAGAAGCCATGAATCAAGTATTTAGATAGATGTAGCTAACTACATTGGAAAATGAAAATTTATAGATGTTTTATTATTAGATCAGAGTAAAAAAATCCAATGAAGGATATGATAAAGGTTGGTTTAGAAATAATTTATCGAGGGCTGGGGATTTAGCTCAGTCTTTCTGCCAGTTGCCTTGCAAGCAGAAGGTCCTGAGTTCGATCCTTGGGACCAAAACAAACAAAAAAAGAAATAATTTATCAATAGGTATTATATCTTTTTTAGAATAAGTGCAATTTACACATATTGTACATCTCTTTTTGTCAAATATTAATATGTACTTAGCACTTTTTTTTAGCCAAAATAGTACTTTAGTTGTAAAAACCATTTTTGGTTACAAAAAAATAACAGAAACTTTATCAGAATTTAACGTAATTTACAAATGTCCTAAGAATTCATAAGCCAC